AGTGCATGTGGATTGGTGGACAGTGGGAAGAAATCCTTATATAAACGGGGTAAGGGGAGGATGAGGAGCAAACATGGAACAGGGAATATTTCAAATACTGCTTTTGGGATGACCCTCCCAAACAACAATTATCCCCACTGAACTATTATCCATTAATGCACTTTTACAAATGAATTCCTTTTATTACTACATATTAACCGCATTTAAACTGATACATATATTTTTATGTGGAACTGGAAGAATATAGACTATTCCTAAAATTTCAAAGTTCACAGGCTTAAGCTGTAGCAGCCTCTACTGACACCAGCAATGATCTGTCAGCAGGGAGATCCAGTGCCTGACTGCTTAATGCACTACCAGTCTCTGTTTGCCTCCTTCGGCCCTCATTCATGTTCTGGCAGATTAATCCATCCAGTAGTAAACATTTAAATCACAGAAATGTAACCTTTTCACACGCAGCTCCACAGAGACAGATGGGGCTCTTGAATTTACTGCCAGCTTAAGGGACACAGGAAACTTACGGGAAAAAGACATTTGCACCATTCTATCTTGTCACTATTCATACTTGTGTGTGTGTGTGATCCTCAGAGATTAACATGATCAGAGGACCCAGGGCCATTCGAGCTGTTAAAGGGCCCCTACTATTTTCTACAATGGTGTAGCTGTGTACGGAGTGGGGGGAGGCGGTGAAGGTTTATACCTGATCACCCCGATGATAAGATTTTTAAAAATGTGAGTCGGGATTTAAATTATTTTTTTGGTTTGGACATGAAAAGACAGGACAAGTTGTGCCCCGTATTGGTTCAAAATGGGACACAGCACTTTAGTTTTCAGTACAGGACATGCTGAAGCCTCAATTCAGTGGAGGCCCCTGGGCTTAAGCCTGGGTAAGCCTGTGCATTAAAGCACCCCTATCAATCCTACACCAAGTTCTCCAGTCCGGTAAACCCAGGACTCTCAACCCTTTTCCCAATCTGTAAAGATCACTATCAACCTGTGTATTGATACAGAATGATAAATTAGCTCAGTCAGAGAATAATTAGCTCAGTTGAATGGCTAAGTCAGGGACATATACAGGGGTGGGGCCATATTGGGACTGGCCCCAGCTGATTGACCACTGGAATGCCCCTCCCTGTCACTCGTTCATTCAAAACATATTATTGGCTAATGTAGAGGTCGGCCCCTCTTGTGCCCCAGTTTAAATAATCCTAGGTTCACCAGCTGGCTTAAGTATAACAAGAAATGTTGCAGAGACCAGCTTTACAAATGCAGGTCATTTGCTGGTAGAGGAGAGTTTGGTGACATGAGATGCTCTGGGTGACAGCCGCATGCTGGGACATTTGAGTAGAGATGAGAACACCGATGCCATCTCCTGTTTTCATCCAATCCTTGGCTCCTTCCTCTGAATCCTTTGTTGAAACCCAGAGCTGACTTTTAGTTCATTGTGGGCCATTCTTCAGCAACCTCTCAATAGGCTTCTGGTTGATAAAAACAAAGGCTGTGAAACACTGCCCACTGAGATCCGGATTAGCACTGCATCCCAGCCAGTGAACCTCAGGCATCCTCACTCCAACACCTGTCTAACATTAAAACCCAACCAGAGGGTGTGACTGCCAGGCGCCCTGGGATGGAAGGGTGCAACATGTGGTGTGACTCAACACTGTACTGGCAAACTGGAGTATGGTTCTTACTGCAATGGGCCTGCTTAAGCCACCCACTCCTACCAAACAAATAGCCTCCAAGCTGATATGATTCCTTCCTTTAGTATATAATATCACTACATGGACCGTTCTTCTACAAATTATTTGGAGGGGTCTAGTGATCCCCCCAAAACAAATGACAGACAGATAGACAGACACATAGATAGATAGATAGATGGACGGAGGGACTGATGCATTTTATGAATTAACCATGACTGCATCTTTTACTTCCATGATAACCAAACACATAAATAAATAAGTTGGAGAATCCGTAGCTGTACCGAGTGATGCAAAGTCCTGCAAATCCAAGCAAAGAATAATTTCCTTGATGAATCCGAGTTCTTCTCGAAGCCTTGAAGAAATGTCTTTGATGACATGCTCCCCCAGCCCACCTCGGACATTAGAGTCACACAACACGTCTGTTCAGCTACTCACGAGATATTCAAAAACCGAAACTAACTTAAGCTATAGGTTAGCAGGGGCCCCTACAGCAGAACCGAAGCGAAAGTGAAAATTCATCGGCATTCATTCACAGTCAGCCTGAGTCTCATGAGCCGCTGCTAACAGTAATTAAGTGAAAGCAATTTACCTCATAATCAGAGCGATTTATTTTCGAGGATTGTTGTGAAAGCGACTCAGCAGTGTGCATCTCCAGAAACCATAAAAGGAGGGAAAACTACAGACTTAAGCAAAAGTGCTTAGAGCGGAACATAAGCGTGGTGATCCGCGGGGGGAGTCCTGCTGTCTCCAGGGCTCCCCCCTGACGCTAAACAGCATCTTTCCAGGTCGTTTTTGGGTGAAAAAATACGTTTTTTCTTAAATCACACCTCCTTAATTCTAGGTGTTGTTACATTTTTATAATATGTGAGTTAAGTTCGGTTAAATTGTATCTAATTGAATTTGTCTTTGATATTATACATTGGTTTCATAATAGGTTACTGGGTACGCTTTGTTTTCCTTCATCTCTGCGTCTCGCCATCAACCTGCCTAAATGTTTATAATCGGGACATTTGACTTGCTTCGGGGGCGTATCTGTGCTTTCAATGCTCGGTGACACCTTACGATTCTTCGTAGCGCAGCCGTCGCATATAAATAACGAGGTGGCTGCCTGTCACGCGCTTGGCTTTCAGTTCTCAGCCCTCAGCTCTTCAGGAGATAAACGACAAAAGTGGCTCTAAAGCTCTTAAGTGTACTGAAGAAAAAAGGTCCATCTATCCGGATTTAAAGCGGGCGGAAATGTAGCTTTGGGTGTGAGAATTCAATGAATAAAACAAAATCTATTACTATATATATGTATCAAAGAAAATACCAAATGTTTGTAAAACAATGAATCGTATTCAGCTTATTTATAGATCCCATTAAAATTAATTATTAAAATAACAAAATAGTATAAAAATTAACCAAAACTAATTCAATCAAAACATTTTATCCTAATTTCTAGACTATACGGGTAACAACATCGTTACTCTCCCGGCTCAGCATTGTTTAGTGGACTGTGGAATGGTTTGTGGCGCTCGTGCTCCCAGGATAACGGGAACACGGTCAGATGCGTTTGTTTGGAGGATGCCATGCAGACAGACACGTCCCACCGGGCCCCGCTCTCATCGGGGATTAAATCAGTTCAGAAATCATTACGTATAGTGAGTCTTTCTTTACTTCTTACTTATCTGTCACGGCTTATTGTAATTAAACAGCCTGGGGGTGGGAGGGGGGCATGATTTTCATAACATGGGAGGGGGTCTTGCTGTGGTTGTTAACTCCCTAAAGCTACCAATGCAATGTGTGAAGTATCAATAAATTTAATCATATTGTTGTGCCACTTTGAGATTTTACTGTTTAGAAGCTTCCTGAACGCAATCCAATAATTATTATCATAATGTACATTTTGAAAAGTTAGTGACATTTCTAATCAGTTTAACTAAGAATGCAGTACACTGTTTTAGGTGATTAAATACTGTTTAATTAAAAAAAAAATAAAAAAATTAAATATATATTTCATATATTTATTGTAAATTCGAATAATAAACGATCTGGAACGAGGTGTCTAGCTTTACACTGGTCATGCAGTGCTGTAATAGCATCAGTAAGTATATTTTTCAGTGTACGGGAAGCTTCGGAACAACAGGAATGCTATTATGCCTAGTTGTGTATTTCATTTGTAATTATATGTTGCATGACTGGTTTCTTATTTGGAAACGGAGCGCATCTTACTTTTCAGAAACTGTGATATTAGTCTTTTGGGTAAAAACTTGTTTTTTGCCGTTTCATTTGCTGCGGATCCCCAGAAGCACAGAAAGTACTTGCGGTTTTGCCACAACTTGCTGGTTACATCAATATCCAACGGGTGTTAGTGGGAAGAAGACGAGATGCAACCCTCTAACCTGCAGGGTTCCAGTTCGAGACCCTGATCCGGTAGAAAGCTTATCTTTAACGTTATTCAACCTGTATTGCTCCAGTATGACGTCAAACTGGATAAATTCATAAAACCCTAGCCTAAGGAACAATATACTAATCGTCTGAAAACAGACCATCAAGACCGAAAAACCGAAAAGTAAATACGCGCTGCTGGAGGGTCTGACAATAATTGATATGATAAATCATTACAGGGTTGTCGTAAAATACAGACGGATTATTATGCAAGCGACATTCAGTGTTAGCATTCCAACGACAAATGAATATTAACACGGCACAAAGTAATGTTAAGCCGTACTCGTGATTTGGTTCAATAAAATAGGTAACATATTTAAAACAATCGAAAACCCGTGCGAACGAATCTGATTATGCATCTACCCCACATAGGCTGTTTATTTGTCCCATATGAGGCTGTTTCTAGATTGTTTTAACAATCCTGAAATACTTCATTCATTTATATTACATGCAGTATTATGCATTTTACCTAAAGACAATGTTCCGGATGGAGTCTTCATCGATGCCACGAATATAGCCTACAGCTTTTTATTATACAGGAATAAGTAGTTTAAACACATCGTAAACATATTTAAATTATCATGCCATCAATGGGATGTTCGCACTATGCTGCAGAGCTGACTGTTCTGGAACGCAAGAGATAATTCTAACAAATATCTTAAATGAAAGCAACTGAATATAAAGCAGTATTCACATTATTAGGAAGCGACGAGCGACGAACTTCTGCAGGTGCCACGAAAGCACGGATCTCCGGGAGATCAACCACCCCCCAACACACACACACACACAAACACACGCTGCCCAAAGTAAAGGTGAGATGGGAGGGGTTCCGTCATGAGATCACAACGGCAACATTAACTGAGTGTAAAGTAAGAGAAGCACGGCTGGCAGCCAGACTGCTCAGATAGAATCCAGCACACAGTAACAGGTTTATCTTAGATGATCAGGCGACACGATTTATTCCATGTTCCGTGGCGTACATTCCTCTGGGTCTATTTCTAAAGGATTAAAATAAAGCGTAGGATTTTAAAGAAGAAAGTTGTCTTGGAAAAGAACTCGGACCATACTTGCATATACGGCATACAGTAGGTTGGTGCATTATATAGCACTACAGTGATCTGTAGCATTTCTGACTCGAAATTAATATTATTTTCCCCCATTTCTTTGTTTGAAAATTCAATTCAGTCGATAAAAAGTTTTGAGCAAAGGATATTTAAAACAACGCGAAGACGTGGCACGGGGATGGGACGCCGTTTATCTGGATTTTTGCATTCTCTGTTTGGTAATTTTAACTCCTTTGGGGGAAGATCTTCCGCGGCCATGTGCCTCCTAGCTAAATGCGTGATGCTCTCGCAACTTCTGCTGTTATCGGCGGAGGACGGCAGGGCGCTGCTGTGCGTGCCTTGCGACGCGTCCGGATGCGCTGAGCCAAAGGCTTGCGGCGGCACGGTACTGGGCTCTTGTGGCTGCTGCGCCGGCTGCGCCAAGCAGAGGCACGAGAGCTGTGGAGGCTTCCGCGGTCTCAACGGGACATGCGACCGCGGACTCCAGTGCGTTGTCGGGACGTCTCCGGACGGCGGTTCCGTCGATGTCGGAGTTTGTGAAGGTGTGTACCCAGATAGGCTTTAATCAGTTTGAAAACTTACGCAGAAAATAAACTCCTATATGCATGCCGTAGAAATAAATTTAATCTGTCTGTAACAAATTTTGGATTCATTTAGATTATCATATCCATCATCCATCAATCCATCTTCCAACCGCTTATCATTACAGGGTCTGAGTGGTGTCGTTTCTTTCCTATAGTAGATGATAAAATCGGGGCACTGCATTTCTTGAGCTCCTTAAAAGTGTCAGGAAAGGGAATGGTTTATGTAAATATTTTCCGAAATCAGACTCACAACAAATACCCAACAGGCTACCAAAATCCCCTTCATTTTTTAGGCATTGTCAGCAATCAAAATGTGGTTTCAGACGTGAATTAGTTAGTATAGGATTATATGATGGATGACATATCTATTTTAGAGCAGGATTTGTGCAAATGAATGGAATTTCACATCTCTGATAATTATATAAATACTGTTTATCGATGGATCTTTATATAGCAAAAGCTGCACATTGGAGTTATGGTACGAAAAAATAAGCTGAAACTAATATATGCGGGAACAATACTTTCCAATTACAGTAAAATATGTTACTATGTGTGCTGTAGCTCTGAACGATTACAAATATTCGAAAACCTTTTTGAAAGAATATCCTACGGCACCAAGACCTTCCCTTTAAAACTCTGCAAACAAAGGACGAGCTGGCCACTTTGCTGGGAAACAGCCCCTGGCGAATCCCCCATTCCGGCTACTTTTTAACGTACGTAGAGGAGACCCGCGCGCGAGCCGCCTACGCAGGCTATTAAATCAAAGCGCGGTCTAAAAGCTGAGCGCGAGCCGCCACTGTACCGACAACATTTGAGCACTCCATATGTAAATGATTCGTTTTTGGAAGTAATTTCCTTCAAAATGTTATGCAAATATCGAAGGAAAAAAAGTACTTCATACAATCCCTTCGGTCTCCTTACACGAAGTTTTCACATTCATTGGCACGGCAATGGGCAAATACAGTACGTATTGAGCTCTGTCACCAAATTAAGGGTACAGCATGTGTCTTAACACATACAAATACCATATTTAACTACAACAATTTTCCCGTTGGCCTCCTTTGTTTTTGTTGTTTTGTAAATAAATTAGGTGAAGAGAGTAAAACATATAAAGTGTACTAAGATAATACGCTGAAACATCAGTACTGAACCTGTTGTTATAGGCTGGGCCAAACACCCTGCGTTGGAGCCCACCTCGTCTGCTTTTGCTGCTGTTGCTTTCCATCCGGGATGCGGTGACCCTGCACTCCTCATCTCAGAGTCCAGGTTTCCTTCTGCTGTCCTCCTGAACATCCACTGTCTCACTGGCCTTCTTTTCAGAGAGTGGAGTTTCAGACCCAGTTAGCTATGTTATGCTAACTTATGCAGGCTGGAGTCCCTGTCTGTCTGCTATTTGATTTTGTGCTGCGGTAAGGCCTTTGTAGAGTCATCTTTAAAGGGTCTTAACTGCACAAATGTGAGCTGGATGCTGGGACTCCTGTGCCCCCCTGGGGCCTGTCCCCTTTCATGACTGCTCCAGGCTTGTACAGTCCCATCATGCAATGCGGCAGGTCCCTGGGCTCCTGGAAGTTGTCTCTCCTGCGTCTCCTACTGTTTTAAAGACAACGGCGCCATCTCTTCGCCCTTACATCCGCAAGCGCACATCAGACCTCATAAGCTCCCCCACACTCGCCGCCAGCTCCATTTCATCTCCCCCGCCCTTTGATGCCAAAGCCGGCTTCCCACGGCTGAGCCGACGACTCCCTTGCACGCTTTCTTGTCGAAGACGGCGTGCCTGTCAAGCAACCTGGGAGACCCCGAAGCTTGTCAAAATGTAGCTTCCCTAAAACTCACATGGAACTGGTTTATGGATGTATTGACTGAACTCCTTTTAGATGGTTATTCTTTTCAGGTAAAATGGGAAAAAAAATACTAGTGTAATAAACCTCTGCTACCAATTTGACACTAGTTAGGTTGCGAGTATTGCACTACTGCACTAAGAAATTAACTTTACCTTTTTATTAACTTTTTTTTCTGCTCAGATGCAGCTTGGGATGTCGATCTGAGTTTGGGGTCTGGACCTTGCAGGGGAAGCCTGGTCAAAGGCTGTGATCTGGTGGACAGGAAGTGTGTCTGTGGTCAGAAGTGGTCCTGTAGCAGCCCCTACTCCTTCCCCAGCTGGGACGCGTGCCACATTGCCCTCCAGAGAACTGAAGGTAGGCCCCGTTTTGGCATACCTGTCTGTCCAGCCTTCTGGGACTCCAACCCCCCAACTCATGGCTTTTGAGCAAGGGCCTTGGCCTCTCAATCCCCCTGGGGTGAGGAATGATCTGGTTTTTCTGCTCTCCCTCTGAACTGCTAATAGCCTCATCTTAGAGAGATAGATGGCTGAATAAGGTCAATTAAGAGAATAATGACTTAAATTGCATGCTGAGAGGCTGCGTCAGAGCGAAGGCCTGCCACGATGCCGGGCTGTCAGAACCCAACTCGAGGATCCTCTTGGTAATGAAGTAACCTCAAACTTTTCACATGGGCTGATTAGCTTTTCCTGAGGTTAATGAAAGATACTGTAGAGTTGTACATCATACCTGGGTGACTTACAGAGCGCCGTCAATCTGGGAAGGTGGAGCTTAGCAGTGCAGTGTGATCACAACTCCAAGACTTGAGGAGGAAGGCTATGTGGGTATGTAGAGAATGTGACATACTATGTAAGCTGCAGTGTCGCCGCCCTGTTGGTAGCATTGTCAAGTACAACATTACTCAGGATAATACCCTGTCTCCTTTATCTGGGATAATTCACCTGAGGTTTTCTCTTTCTCGGATGGAGGTTTTGTCAATGAGGAATAATTATTCATGTTTTCCTGCTTGATTTATTGTGTTTTGTGTTCGACGTCTCAGCTGGTACAAATTGAATAATTCTCAAGCTTGGCTTCGAAAAGCCGCGCATCAATCATACAGCGTCGGGGAGCAATCTGCCCCGTGCAGGGATTGATGGAGTGGTCCATCAGCACGGCCACATAAATATCCTACAAGCAAATCTGTTCCTCTTTTGGATACAATATTTGAAGTCGACCTGACATGTTTCAAGGGCATGGAGAAAGTTCTAAAATTGGGAACTAACATACAGGTACATAACATTTAGCATGGTGGGTGTGGCCACTGGGGCACTGAAAGCTGATTGGTCCCTTAAGTGCCCCTTCCCTGTCATTCACTGATTCAAAATATATCATTGGCCAAGGATAAGTTTGGCTCCTCTGTCTGAATTATGGCCCCTCTTTTGGTCCCCATCTTAAAAAATTCTCAAATCACTCCTGTGTGTGGGGTGGTTAAGGGCATGGCCTTGTAACTTCAAAGCTGTTAAGGTTCCCTTGAGCAAAATACAAAGCTGTACCAATGGGCATAACAGACAAGTAACTTTGGATAAAAGTGAGTTCAAGTGAAGTTTCCTCTAAGTCATAAATCCTATTCACTTTGGAGCGATGACCTTCCAAACTGCATTAACATTTCAACTTTCATGGAACACTAATATTTAAGCAATTTAAAGAGAGCTTTTTCACCACGGCCAGACTTTCACAATTCCAGTTGAAAATTCAGATTTGTTAAAATTTTCGGTCAGACCTGCTTTAAAGAATCCAGCAATCGGGCCCCCGTACTGAAGGGTTGGGGCTATACAGCAAAGCGCCTGAATGCCCCATGGAGCACATTAACGCGAGCACCGTCGTGCCCAGTTTCAACGTAGATCAGTCATCACCTTCAGACTGAGCGTGGGGGTGGAGGGGGGTATCAGTGAGGGCTGCTACTGTGACATTGATGATGGGCTTGAAAGTAGCAGCACAGACTGACAGCCTATTCACTCACCTCTGACTAATTACCAGGGTTATATAAAGGGGACAGCTGTCAGGTCCAGACCCCACATCCATGCCTTGATGCAGGTGTAGCCCTTCCTCACACCTGTCACCCATTTGTTTTCCTACATTTCTCTCATGGTGAAGCCAAGAAGGCCGGCTCTTACCTCCTTTCCTCTCCCCTGGGGTTGACAAACCCATAAAGCTCATAGGAGTTTTACTTACACAAAAATGTTCTGAGGGCAGAAGGAAAAATGATTGGTTCAGGAGATAACTATGACTAATCAAATGTGTCAGTCCCGCCTCCTGTAGCTGCTTGGACCCACCTCCTCTACAATCTGATTGGTTATCTTTTATGCAAGTAAAACTCCCACGAGCACACCCAGATAAAATCCTGATCCCTCCATCTCCATGTGCACTGATTCTGTTCAGTCCCCATCCAGAGCCAGCCTCATAGAAGCCATTATTAAGGATAAGCTGTGGGTCTGGAAGTCAACACGAAGCTTAGAGCACAACACCCAAGTGGTTTCACAGCCAAAAGTATGGCGGTCATGTCACCCCGAAACGAAAATGTCAGGTCTGATGAGTTGTGGCTCACAAATGCAGCATGTCAATGGTCAGTGCAGAGCGAGGTGATGCAGAGACAGCTCTCCTCGAGAGAGACACTATGGCTGGTTAGGGGCTAGAGGAGAAGAGGGAAGTGCAGGAAGAGAACTAGTTTTGGGCCGCTAAAGACTTTAAGACGGGGTGAAAACTCACCTGTCAGCAGGACAATGATTCATGGTGTCAGGAGAACGGTGCACCGAAGCAGCCTGGTAATCGGAAAGCAAAAGTCCTTGTTTGATGCAGTCCTAAAGTGTGAATTAGTGGAAAGATGTGAAAGCTCTGGAGCATAATGAGTCGCTAAGCTCCCGCATATCTGTACGGAAAACCGGCAATATTCACACCTTGCTGATGTGCAAAGGCAGGGAGCTACACAAAATGCATGCTCAATCTGCATGCTCACAGAATTAATTGTACCTGAAATTTATTGCCTTGTCTTTGGTTTGAGGAAAATGATATATATAAAAATGGCATGCATCATTTTGTAATTTTTGTAAAATGGAACACAACAGGTGCTTTTGTAAGGCACTGTGCATTTTCTAGTGTACTCTAAAATACATCAGGTTGTACTATCAGTGCCCTTGCATATCATTTCATAACCTCTCTTTAAATAGATCCTAGAATAACCAACAAAATTACAGCAGAAGGGGTGACCCCATGATAACAGAGGTATTTCACTAACCATCAGACTTGATATGTAGTGTCACAAGGCGGGTGAGCACGGCAGGAACTGAAGCATGGGAGTGTGGGGTTTATTAAAGGGATAACACGATTGGGAGCACAGGGCAACATTAGCGGGGTGGAGACGTTAGTGACAAGACTAAGGAAACATACTTGAACACGGACTTAAATGCACAGGACTAATGAAACAACAAGAAACAGCTGGTAAACACGGGGATTCCACATGAGTTAAATGAGGGGGCGTGGCACACGGGAGGAGCAGCACGATCGGGGTGTGACATGTACAAAGTTCTGGAAAAGCTTTTCTATTATATGTCTTAGAGAAACTTTACTTCTGCCTTTCGCATTTTCTGCCTGTGACTCGCAAAAGCATGTTCACTTTCTCCCCCAGCAAATGGATTGCTGGAATCGATGCAGTTCTGGGAGATTTTTCTGACAGTGCTATTATTCAGTGCTAGCAGGCAGCATAGGTAAATGCATCAGATAGCGGGTGTGAATGTTTATCCTGTAGGCCTGCGATGGCAGGTGGTCGGTGAGTTCGTTTATATCCAATTACTCCCTGGAAAGGAACCTTTGCCTTTTTGCATTGTAGCAGGGCAAAGGGGACAAATTACTTTAAACAAATCATCTTCTCACATGATTACCCCTCCCCCCCACTCCAGATATTTATCTTGTTTTAAACGAATATAAGGCAGACAGCTGAGGGATATGGGGACTCTACAAGACTCAATGAGCTAAGTCACGGCAGTTGTTAACTGACCCTGTGTACCTTTTTTAGGATGTTTAGCTGACATGAGTTAGCATGTGCTGTTGTGATGTTAAATATTGTACAATTTATTCTTAAATATGTGATAGCAATTCTAGGGTTAGAGGATTATACAGGACTTTGTCCTGAAATAGTGGCATGTCATAACACGATGACAGATTGTGAAAGTGATTATAAAATATTAACTGAGGCTTTGTTAAAAATCTTCAGGGCCCACCTCTGGCATCACCTCTGACATGAGACACCAGGGGACATTGTTGCAAGGTGCCATGTTCTTCTGTTAAAAGTTTAGGAAGCACAGGAGTTTGGATATGATACAGGCATAGTTCAAGAAGTCAGTTGTTTTCTAGATTATTCTGTGCCACTTCCATCCGACACCCGCCGTGATGTACCTGTGCTGTGCGATAGGCGGGCATCTGTGGTAACCTTGTGTTCTCTGATAAACAGCAATCGGGCGGTTAATCCAAACAAACCTCTTAAGCTGCAGATGATGACGACGACAGCAGCAACAACAACAGCACAGGACAAATTCGTTTTTTCTGTGGTGACCTTTACGTGACAAATAAAAAATTTCCCAGCTTTGGTTGGTCGCTTGACGTACGACCCTGAAATCTCGCTGACCGTCCCTAACTGTCTGAATGTAGTAAAACCGGATAATAACCTATATTGTTTTTTCCTTTGAAAAGAAAAATGTTTAAATGTGCTGATGTCAACGTGACCTTCAAATGCACACCTCCAGAGTGACAGCGAGGTGACTTGGCACGGAGCACGGCGGTGCCATTGTGTCCGAGACCTGAGGGACAGTGTTTCTCGCTCTGGGTGGGTAAAAAGAAAACAGGCTGAAAGCCCCCCCCCCCAAGCCATCACAGCCCTTTCTCCCAGATTGGTAATCGATCGCTCCTCCTCACCCTTGTTTCCCGAGCCTGTCCGGCTGACGTGACCATGGAGCGCATGCCTCGCTAATCCCAGCCCAGAGCTACATTCACCGGCGGGCCGCTGTGTAGCGGTGGGGGGGCGCGGCGTGCTAATTGCGGGCCCTGTTCTTCCTCGTGAGGGGAGGAGGGCTCTTTCTCACGGACATGGAGCTGCTCCTGCTCAGCGCTCCCACAGCCCACCGCAGGCACACAGGCTGTTGTTTACCAGTGAGTGCGTTACGTTTCCCTTGAAGAAAAATGACAACTGGGATCTTGCTGAGCTGAGCTGCCTCTAGGCAGAAATGATGCCCCATTTTAGCTACCATGATACCTGCATTTTGTTCTGAATGTAATTATATGATCTGGAAACATTTTGCATCCCATCAAGCTCTTGTCCTTTGCTCCTG